CTCGAAGGGATTGAGTCCATCTTTGGTGAGCAACAAGAATGTGCGTTCACGCCAAGTCTTGGTAAACAGGGCTCACGGATTGGCAAACTGCGCGCCGCCTTCAGACTGAGTCCCAGGCGCCAGAGTTGATGTTGCGACCGCTCACAGTCACCCACGCCAGGCGGAAGCCACGTGTCTCGGAGGCCTGCGCAGCGCAGGCAGGGTGTGCCAAACAGGCAAGCGTGGTTTTGTCGAGCCTTGATCAGGTAGTTCATGAGATCGCGGAGCTTGCTGCTCAAAATGTGGGATACGTTTTCCAGGAAGGCAAACCGCCTAGGACACATCTAGGTCTTGAGGGGGCGAGTGAGGCAAGCAGGAACAACTTTAAGTTCAATCAAGGGGCAAAGTGGGACGCTCATCCAGCAATCCCAGTATTTCCGTCAACAATCCAGTGCGATCGTCTGATAATCCGCGCATGTTCCCGGCTTTGCATACTCCCTGGCAGCGGCTGAACACCCACATTGCTTGGATTGTGAAAGAAGAAATTGCCAGCCTGGCAGGGGAAGCCCCCCAAAAGCCCTTGCACATCGTCGGGCAGATCCTCCCCTCGCAGGCTCTTGATGTCAGACCAAAGGGGCGCCCTTTCGATGAGGCCCTCTGCCATTCTTTGTCTCAGAACTGATTGGCAGTAAGCATTGTTTTCCACCTCAGCCGGGGGGATTGAGTACGCACAGCATGGAGGGCGAGGGCCGCACGTACATAGCTGGACTGCGCTCGCAAGAAAGGGAAGGCTTGCAAGAAAGGAAAGCTCGCAGGCTTGGGCTCTGGCTGGGACACACCCAGGTCAAGGCCGCCAATTCCGCTGAACAAAGAAGCAACACGATGCCGATCGGCGCGCACCTGCACATTAAAGGCGGTCTTTTCTGTTTCAAGTCAAACAGGTTGCCTCATTTTGTGGGAACCAGGGAAGCACGTCAGACATCAGGTCTTTCACTGACCCTGGCATTGCGTTGCTCCAGCCCCTTGGGATTCCTGCCAGGCACACAAGAGGCTTTGCGTTTGGCAATGTCAGCCCAGTCCTGCAAAATACTCGGCAAGTTCCGGACTCACATAGGTCCCCTTTGGCTTTTGAAGGCGCTTGCATTCAGCAATGTAAACCTCCCAGTGCCTCACTTGAGAAGCAAAGTCCTGCGGTGCATGATTGCCACCAAACAAGGTTTTGTATGTGCAAGTTTATCACTCAAAATGCAGCAGTCCCGTGCGCCACGCACACTCAAGTACTGGCAGTTCGCTTTGGTGGTTGCTGTAAATGGGCCTGAGCAGGATAGCGCGCTCGAAACCTGTAGGATGTTCAACGGATATGCTGGGGCCCCGGCGAATGGTGCCCCATGTGTGCAACGTCACCTTCGTGGTCTGAAGTTTGCCCTTTTTTGGCAGTGTGGCAGAGCGGGGTGGCTTCTGGGGCACCTGGGCACAAGTTGGGGGACAAATAGTAGGCTTTTTACAGCATTGCAAGCAGCACCCAGTGCATCCAAAAGTCAAGTACGATGTCGAGCTTTGGGCGCGGCATTTGGGGGAAGAATGACGGGCAAAAGGGTGCAGGCCGTCCGTCCTTCACGATGGCGTTCTTTGGAAGCCGGTCCTGCCACGCTCCTGGAGAGGCTGGCCTGGGGCTTCTTGTTCTTCTTCTTCTTGTTCGTGTTCGTCATTGCGCTGCTCGTTGCCCATCTCTTCACTTAGAAGGCCGGGCCGGGAAACAAACGGTTTTAAACTCAACATGCTAAGTTTCCAACTCGCTAAGTGAGTCGATGGCATTGAGTGGCATGGCAGGCAGGAAGGGCCCTACGGTTTATATGTACCACCTTGAAACGGCGTCCCTCGCCAACCCACAGACAATTCCAGGCAACGAGCGTGGTTGAAATCAGGTGCAAAACGAAACAAGCGCGCTGCCAGCAAAGGCCACTCTGGGTTTTGCAGCCGCCGTACCCCTGGAAGCAGCATTCCTGTTTGCTGTCACTTCAGCCTTTAATTAAAATCTGAAGCTTTGAGATGGCCAGGCCATGAAAATACATACCCCTTCAGAAAGGCTTCAGGAGTGCGGCAATTCCCTTCTTTGATCTCTTGAACAGTCCCGGCCAAGATTGCAGCCGAAATTTCTGCGGTCCGCGCAGGCTGCTCGTTTGCCTGCTCTGAGCTGATGAGGGCGCCGACCTGGGGGGGGGGTCCGGGGAAAGGGCAGGATGGGGGGGGGGGAGGGAGTCTCTCGTTTATGAAGCATAATGGGAAACCCCAAGCAGAAACAATCTTTGCGGTTCTTCAAGGGTGTGCCCTAAAACAACATTGTTTTACCGGACGCTGTAGGTTTTTGCAGTTGTGGTGTACCGAGCAAGGAACGAGGAACCCTGCCCTTCAACTAAACTTTTGTTTTCAAATGTCACGGGCATGACACTCCGCGTTCCATAGTAACAACTCAACAAGCAGGCGGTGTTTTGAAGCCACCTGAGAAAAATAAAATGGCAACGCGTAAAGCACGAGGCTCCCCTCAGGCCAAGGCGTACGCCAGCACAGTCTTTGCAAAAGCCTTCCGCTTGATGGCCAAGGCCTCGTGAAACAATGATGTACACCATTGAAACAAGGCCTGTAAAATAGAGCGGGTTTGTCTTAGTTTCAGGCAATGGTCTCGCTGTCAAAGTCACTGGGACTATCATCGTAAGAATCCTCATCGTTCGAATCGGGGTCCTTCAGCGCAAATTAAAAAGGGCGCATGGGTGAGTGGGACCTGCCTGGGTGGTGTCTTCGCAGTTCACCTTGTGTGACAAGCACATGGCAAGCACCGCCCTTTTGTTTTTGAGCGCCAGGCCGTGGCGCGGTGTCCGGGTTTTTGCACATCCTTCACGATGCTTTTGGTCCTCGGGCGTTGGGCAACTCAAGGTGGTTAGCAATAACTCCAAGAAAACTTTCTTCATGCCAAGAAGCAGCGGCGACCACTCCAGCAAAGCGTTCTTAGCAGGAAATTAGATGCATTTTCTTTAGACCAACCCATGGTGCAAACGAGAATCTAATCGGCGAAGCTTTGGTGCCTGTAGGCAATTTCCGACAAAACTGCAAGCCAGGTGTGCTGAGCTCGCTACCCGTGAGCTGGGAGAGCGGGAACGGCTAGCCTGCAGCGAGCGGTGCAACTAACTGTTGTTGCAGGAATGGTTCCAACCTGCATGTTCGGACGAAGGTTGCCAAAGCAAACTGTCTTGACCCACAAAATCTGAAGGGCCGGCGGGAAATGAATGCTGCGCCAGCTGCTTGTGGCTGGGACGTTTCACATTGCCTGTTGTCCGTTGCCTTCCAGCTTGAAGACCCAAAAGCCTGGCGCAAAGCACCATAGCTGTTGGCCAGTGAACCTCCAAATTGCCGGCCTTGCTTTCCACAAGCTGGGAGGCTTTATGCTGCCCACAAATTGGCAGAGCAGGGGCAAGTTGCCAAAAGCAGTCCTCGTGCCCAATGGGGCAAGTTGCCAAAAGCAGTCCTTGTGCCCACAGCTGGGGCAAGTTGCCAAAAGCAGTCCTGCACATTTCATGTGCTCACGTCCCCCCACAGGTTTGCAGGCCACCCGCGAAGCAGGCCTTGGCATCCTTGGACCTGACACACGCGTGGGGCTTTTGTTTTGAAAAGTGGGCAAAGCCTGCCTGCTCAAAAAGGGGGCGCGAGAAGGGCCAACGTCTGTGAGCAAAATGGCCGAGCGCCAATGGATTAGGGATCTTGTAGCCATGGATGAATTCAAGGGCTTAGTTCCAAAACCCTAGATACAAAGCAAACCCCCCAACCAGTGGAACACAGAATACAAGTTGTCTGGAATGATTCGCGTCAGGGATTTTCCTGCGGGTCGCCGCTTCCTAGTTTGAGAAACACTCATAATGAAGGTTTCTTTTTCAGAGTTCCCTGATTATTGTTTGGTGTTGTTTTCCACTGATTTGCGCAACACTCAGAATTATTACTATCACAAATTTGGAAAGCTGCTTTCCAGAATTGTACGAACTGTGAATCCTACGTTGTTGATTTGCGTGTCAGTCTGCTGCTTTGCCCTGACATGTTTCCCATATATGGTTTTGTGAATGGCTCTCCATCTCCCAACAGGCGCCCGTCATCGACGGGGCACTGCAAACTGGTTGGGATTGGGAGGGGCGGCCCGGGCCTTGCCCCCCTTTGGGCAGCGAAGCTCTTGTTTGTGTTTTTTGGGGGGGTCTTGTTCAGTACAACCACACTGTGGACAGGAGCCACCAGTTGGATGAAGCCCTATGAAACCTGGGATGGCCACCTATTGCCTGGTGCGGGATTTCGACGAAATCCACAGTCGGATGTTAGCTTCCATTTGCTTAAGCATGCTTTGTATGTTCCCTTGTTGGTTTCAAATGGGCATTTGCCATTGGAATTTGCTTTCTTCCGGGGACGTATTCACAAGTGAAAGCAGCCATTCATCTATCCCTTAGTTTGGGGGATCTTGTATGGGAGATTGCCCTCCACCACCAAACCACCAATCCAAACCACCACTCTGTTAACTTCGGAGTATGTCAAACCCCCCCAAATCGCAGGGAACTCCAAATCCGGAGTTCACATACTGTGGATGGACGAAATCCATTTCGCACCACCTAAGAATCCCTCAAATGATACGATTCCCTGTAAATGCCCAAATAATGGGCTCCTATGATTTCAAAGTGGTGCGATTTCTGGATTTCGCCACCATCCACACTAGGGAAGACCACTCCAAATCTGAAAATCCGAAGTTCACATAGGCAAGCTCAACCACAGCACCTCACCTCACACCTCACCGACCCCACCCTTTCCCAATGGCATTGAAATCGTTGCATGTTGGAGAAGAAGGCAAACTTTGATTCCTGAAAAAAACACAATGTCTGTATTTTCTCAAAAGAAAACATATATATATATGGATAAATGACAATTGTTTTTTCTCATTAGACCCACCTCACCTCACCGACGCGACGGACCGACCGACCCACCGCGCAGCTTAGGCCGGTCTCGTGGCCACGGGCTGCGTGCTGCTCGCGGGCTGGGGCTCCGCGGTGGCCTGGCTGAAGTTCATGGGGGACAACTTGGCGCGGTTCCTGCCGCTGGAAGTCACCTCCGCGGACGCCCGGCCGCCTTAGAGCCCGAGACCTCATCTGAGGCCTTTGGGGGCTGAAGGCCCTCATAGGCTCTTGGGCTCCCGGGGTGTTGTTTTTTGTTTTTGTTTTGTTGTTTGTTTTGTTCTTCTTTTGTAAGGAACTACACTCACCTCTCCCAAAGCGGAAAAAGCGAATGGACCTGAAATTTCAATTTTGGGTTGTCCCCGAATGCGTAGCGAAGAAATCCCGCGTGTTTTCTTGTTGTTGGTCCGTGGGTAAGGTCGTGTTGTTCGTTTAATTGTGTTTTCCTCAAGGAACGACCCTTACTTGGCCAAAGGGATTCAACCTTTTGACCTCTTGGTTTTGTGAAAATTTGGTCATGGCGCGAAAAGGTGCACCTTTGCAAGTGGGAAACACATTTGTCTGGGGTGAATCCTTGGACTCCTTCGCTCAGCTTTGTTTTGGTTTTCTTGGCAAAAGGGTTCTGCAAACCCTAATTTGGGGGAATCCACCAAACATGGACCCTGAAAAAACCACCCAAATTCCGGTCCTCTCCTTCTGCCTTTCCGGGATTTTCCGTTCTGAAGTGCTGTGAGCTCTTCCTCTATTTTTGCATGCGGTGGATTAAACCTGTGTTGCCATGACAGCGTGGACAGTTTTCAGGCACCCACATGCGTTGCCCCGGAAGTACCCCACCCTTTGGTTACACTGTCTTATCTACTCCCTTCTGGCCGTGCCAAGCCGAGTGGACCGGGTTTGCCACTCTTGCGAAGTTCAACAGGTTTGGGGTCCCCACTTGTCCCAAGTTTCGCCATGTTTTCTCTTTATTTTCTCGGGTCTTTGGGTTTGTGGAATCCAAAAAGTAAAGTCGACAGATGTTCCCGTTTCTTCCCTAAGACCCCTTTAGGTTACAGCGGTATAATTGTCCCTTGTTTCCAAAAAAACTCATTCGATTTTCCACCTCCCCCTGCCGCTAGGGAAGCCTAATTCTGGGTGATTTATAACGACCTCACACGACCTCACCCCAAATGATGGTTTATGTGGGGAATAGCCCCCCAACCACCTTATTTCAGGCTGGTGAAATATTATAATTCACCCAACATCTAGTAAGAGTCGACAGTTTTTAGGTTACAAGGATATCTCTCCCCTAATTTTCCACTCCTGTTTGGCTCCAGGGAAACAAATTTTGTTTTTTTGTTGGTTTCAGGAGTACATCGGGTTGCTGACGTGTCCGCTGCTCCTCTGTGCCTTTCTGGACGACATCCGCGCACTGGAGCGTTTCTCGCGGCTGGGGCTGCTGGCGGGCCAGTGCTTCGTGGCTCTGCTGGCGATGCTGGCGGCGCCCAGCTGGCGGCAGCTGCCGCACTACGTGGCCTCGCAGCCCTTTCTGCGCTTGGACGCGGGGACTGCGATTCATGGGGAAGGGGTGGGGGGGTGTGGGGGTGGGGAGGGGGGGGGAGGAGCTGGGGGAGACCCTCTGAGCCATGGAAAGGGTTGATTTAAAGTGGACTTCGGATGAATCAACAAAGATACAGGAACCAGTCCCCTAAAATAGTTCATTTCCTTGCTAAAAGGGGAAGCCCGCTGTTTGAGTCGTTGTGGGTTTCCTTCCGTTTTTCTCCAGGGGCCATTTTAGGGTCGCTGGATCAAGCCTGCACAACATCCGCTTGGTTGAAGTCGCGAATGCGTAGGCTTGTAGTCACAAACAAGGTCGAAGTTGTGGGCATATGGTCCGACCATTGTGAACCTTTTGCCAATGTAACGAGCAGGCCAACTGGTCTGCCACGTCTTTGGCCCTTGCCACCGGTTCCACGTCCCTTTTCAACCACACAAAAGTTCACTTGCGGTTTCGAAGTCGGGTCAAGCTTTTTCCAACAACCATGCGGTCTCCCCTCGCAAGGGCTCCTTTTCGACCCGAGAAGTTGGCTGCTCGCAGGATTCAGTCCACTTGCTGGTTCCAGCTAGGAAAATTGTGCATAAGGGAATCCATCAGGGGGGCGAAAGAGCAAATGAACAGGATCCCAACCCCCTCCCACAACTCTGGCTCCGTCTGTCCCGCAAAGTTGTGGCCTTACGGCGTATTTCCAGCGGGAGGGGAGGCCACATAGGCGATCAGCAATCATGCTTGAACTACCAGGACACATGCCCAAGAACATTAGCATTGTGCTAGTTTTTCCAGACCCCCAACAGAACATCCAGCAAACCAGCTTGGCTTTTTTCCCCAGTTAAGTCTTTCTCTCCCCGTGAGTTTCTACCTTTTTCTTGGGGGGGGAAGACCAGTTCAGAGGTAAACAAGAAGTTCAGACATGTTTTGTGGCCACTTTACTCGTCTGGAAGTGAGCTTGTTGGAATGAGACGACTTTCCGAGGACTCCTTCCCCATCGCAATGGGCCTCGCGGTGTTTTGCAATGAGGGCACCTCCTTTGCACTCGGGGGAGTGTCGTACCCGTTGTCAGCAAGCCCCTTCTCGGTGGTTTGGAGTTGTGGCTTCGGGATTTGAACCTAGCGCCTTTTGAAGACAAATGGGGGAGGCAACCGCTAACCTCCAAACCACCAGGGGCAAGGCGACTCTTGGCCGGTGCCGTACCTGTTGGTTATCCCCCAAACAAATAGCACATGTCATAGTGGGCCAAATATGGAACAGAAAATGAGCATACGGCTCCGCAGAGTTGCAGTTGCGCCACGCATTGAGCTACCACACTTTGCGCACTTTTCATTTTGGCGCTACATGGCCGTGAATTCGTAGTTCTTTCAAAGTTAACCCAAAAGGTTATGTGCTTCAATTGTGTCCAAAAGCTCTATATATAGCACCCCAGGTAAGTTTGGCATTATCTTAGCATTGCTTGCCTGTTGGCTGTTGTTTTGCTTTGTTCTGTTGACACGTAACCGGTTTCGCCGCAAACAGCGTTTAACGGTTTGCGAATGTGCAAGGGGGGTTCTCAACTTTTTATTGTTTGGTGCGGTTCATGCTTTAAGAATGTTGCCTCAAAAACGAGGTACGCTCTTGCTGCTTGCGCACATGTACTGTAGTTTATCATTTGCTTGCTGCATGCGTTTTGCTGCAACAAGATGTGTTCCAATTTGCCAGGGGTTGGGTCGGCTGATCCGTAGGCGGTGTTCAAATCTGCGAGGGGCAATCTTCAAGACAGTTTTGGATGGCGCTGTTCAGTCAGAAGCTCAAGTTATAATTTCATAGGGGAACGTATGGACGAAAACCCACTTCAACCAACTGAAACGGATGAAGCTTTGATGAAGACTGGGATAAGCCCCAGGTCTCCAGCCTTTGTCCACCCACCTATCACTCTTTTTCGATGCGAGGGTGCGTTGCTGGGTTCCAGAACCTGGGTTACTGACATGTCACCCCCCAAAAAGTGAGTCGTTGGTTTAGATATCTGCCCCGTTGCTTCTTTGCCGATTGTGGGTAACGTCGACCCCGGATCAATAAGCCCGTCCTAGACGGGCGGGGGTGACTTTGTTTAATGGGGCGTCTTTTTTTTTTGAGGGACCCACCCCCCCAAATTCAGGAAGAAAAGGAAGGAAAGAAAACAACAGGAAAACAGGATGAGTATATTCTTCACTGAAGTCGACATTGGACCACTTCAGTGCCAGGTTTTGCTTACGACCTTCTCAGGGCCCTTGTGTCCTCTTTTCCAAGACCTGCACCTTCACTGGGCACACTGGTCGGTTCGCAGGTTACCATGTAATGAGACTACTGACCACTGTGGGGATTCAGACCACTTCCGGAGGCAGCACCACAAAATGAGTAGGATGGGTTCGACTTGGATCGGTCAACATTCCAAGCTTTCTGTGCGACCTGTTTGCCCTACTGTGGATGGACAAAAGCTATCTCGCACCACCTCAGAGACGGATGCGATTTCCTTGTCAATACCAACAAACGTTATGGTTTCCCATACCAACAATGGTTTCCACCTATGAAGTCCTAGCATGATGCCCCTGTCAATACCAACAAATGGTTTCAACCATGGATTCCAAGTGGTGCAATTTCTGGATTTCGCACCCCTGCACAGCTCTGGACACCCGGTTTTCTGCGGAAGGTCTGGTGGTGATGTCTCCCTCCGTGAGCGCCTCGATGAAAGAGCCAGAGCGCTTTGCCTCAGCGGTGGCCCTGGCAGTCACCTACTTCACGGCGAACTACCTGCTGCTGTCCGCTGCTCCAGAAGAAGCGTCGCTTTTGGTTCTCAGGGTCTACGTCCAGCAATTGGTGCCCTTTTGCCCGGTCTTGGGGGAGGGTTCCCCTACTAAAATAAACTACATAAAAAAGGAGCCCTTATTCAAACCTCTCTACTGGAGGACCTAGTAGAAGCAAAGAATCTTAATCATCAGCAGGGGCAATCTTAGAGACCATGGATTTTTTGGGCTTTGGGCGGCTTTAAACGTGGGTTTGGTTTAAGTCTACATTTGCCTGTGTTTAAGCTACCTTGCTTGCCTCCACCTGTTTGTTTGTTTCCTGTTTCGGAGGAGGGGGAGGATTTATTCTTCCAAATGGTGGCGTTTTGTTTGCGTCATTGGTGGGGCGGTGAATCTGTCCAGAAGTTTTGCATCTTGCTTGGAGGTTCAACCCGCCTGGTGAGGAATTTGGATATGGAGCGGTCCTTTGCCATGATTACAACCTGCTCAAGTGTTTCTGTTTTACACTTGCATTTGATTAAACTAGTACTTGTTAGTGTTGCCCTGTTGGTTTCTGAGGAAGCCTATCACGACTGGGCATATTTTCCAGGAGACTCCAGCGAATGGAAGAACATCGATTATACTCCCATGCAATGGCAAAAACTTATTTGTCCCAAGCCAACCTTGCCTGATCCATTGCGCTCGTGCCGGCCTTAGTAGCATTCTCGCTACCACGTGGATCGAGGGGGGCTTCTCAGCAAGCCGCCAGGGAGTGGCTTTTCTGCTAAAAAGCTACCCCAGGCGTCCGTGTTTGACGACCTTTTTCGGCCTTGTCTGAGCATGAGCTCCCCACTGCAAGTGGACTGTCGTTTTTGCGGAAGTGCCCGCCAGGGAGTGGCTTTTGTGCTAAACATGCCAGTGAATTTGTTTCGAGGCGTCCGTGCTTGACGACCTTTCTCGTCCTCGTCTGAAAAATGGATGGATGAGCTCCCCAACACAGGTTTCCGTATGGAACACCAGTTTGTCCACCTGAGGTCCTTTTGTGGCGACTTCTTATACTCCTACGTGGCCGGCGGTGTTGTGGCGCAGGAGGTAACTCTGTCTAGCGCCTTTACCGTCAGCCCGATCCACAGCACTGCAGTGGTTCTCTACGTGCTCCAGCTGCTGCTGACATTTCCCTGCAGCCTCTTCGTGATGTTGCTCAACGCGAATGAGCGCCCAAAACCCCCGGCGTCCAATTTAGTAGGTGGTTGTACTGCGCGGCTTGCCAACTCGCATCATTTGTTTCGACCTTGTTTGTTTCCAAGGTTGGACTATAACCAGTTAGCTCCAAAGGTTGCCAGTTTTTCCTTGCCTACTTCATAGACGCAATTCCCGTCATGTTGGTCTAATCATCCCCTTTTGGATACCTAATTAAGGGAATGGGTAGTTTCCTTTTGGTTTCCCTTTAAACCAATCCCAACAAGGGCATAGGGGCTGAAATCCTACGACCTTCGTCAAGTGGGTCCACCATTTCTGTCGGGGCTGGTTGTTCCCAGCTATCCCTTTAGGTTTTGAGTTTGGAAAGGGCCTGGTCCAGTTAAGACTTTCGCAGGGCATCAGAAAACGGACAGCTCACCACACACATCCATATTGAACACTCCCCTCGGCCATGTAGGTGGTTCTACCACTTGTGTTTTATTTATTATTATGGGGTTGCCAATGAGGCTTATACAAACGTTCACCATCCGATTGATTGGCTGGTTGTTTCCTTTTTTCCACCCGTTTGTTTTTTTCAACTTTTTTGGCTCAGGTTTCGGAATGTTGAGAAGAGCTGTACCAGCCATTCGCTCGCACGAAGAGCCTGCCGGATCGTTTTGATCCTGTCCTTCTGCGGCGTCGCCATGATCCATGGCCAGACTCGGCAAAGCGGTTTTCATGTTTAGCCTTTTGCAGATTCCTTCTTTTTGCCGTCGAACCAGCCAAAAGCTGCCTGGAGTGTCGTTTGTCGATACGAAGCCCCAAAATTGCGCAGTTTTTCCTTGTGGTTGCCCTGTAAAGCCACTAGCAAGTTATGCCCTCAAAAAAGAGACGCACCCACCCTGGTCTTAGCCGCCTTTGCTGGAAAAAACGGCTTCACGTGGCCGGTTCGGCACCAGGATCCTGCCGCGCTTCGCGGACTTCCTCGCCGTGGCTGGGGCGGTGGGAAACTCGCTGTGCATCTACATCCTGCCTCATCTCGCCTTCCTTGCCCAGCATCTTTGGCCAACTTTGTGTTTGGGTCTGAAAAATCAAGGTTGCCTAGATGTGCCGTTTGGTGGCTGTTTGGCTGTTCTTCGTTGAATCAAGGTTCCGTAAATCATATGTATACATATGTATATATATATATATATATTAAACACACAGATAGGGGGTCACAGTTTGATGGCACATGCACCCCAGTGCTAAGATGGCATACCCGCCAAATCGGTGATGATTTGGGGTCGTGACTTTGATGGCACGCACAAAGCGTGCGTTGGATGTGCCTTCTTATCGTGGCAGCTTTTCTGATCCCAGCTGCCGGGCCCAAATCCATCTTTTTGTGTAGGGAAAGTTGGCATGCAAGCACGGATCCCAAGCTCCCCTCGTAATGACAATACATCACGAGGAAAACACTTCTCCTTAGCACAAGACGCGCACATTGGCCCCAAACAATTCTGACAGAGGAGGGGGCATGTAACGGGGTAGGCGACTGCAATTGCAAGTAAAGAGCCGCCCGCAACCAGACCATGGCACACGCGCTTGCGTGAGCAGCTTAGTTTGGGGAACTCCTGGCTCCTTGGCTCCCTTTGTAAAAGGTAAATTGGACACCCCCAGCTCCTGAGCTGTTTCCTAAGCACAGGCTAGTCACTCTGCAATGATTTTGCCATAACTAATCGATGAACAGGTTTGCAGCGCCGAACAGCAAGGAAGGTTGGTCACTGTGTGCCATGCTTGGGTTCCCAAATCAGTACCAGCTGGGCGCGCGAAAAAAACGGCTAAACTCACGAATGCTGGCACACGTGTGGCTGTTTGTGTGTGCCATCTTTTTGTGACCCCCTATGCATTTCTTGGGGTGGCTTAAGACATCTCATGTGCAAACCTGAATGCATTTGGTGGCGGGTTGCCCGAAAGAAAGCATCAAACTTTTGAAACCCGGTTGGGCCCATCTCGTGCAAAGTCATGCGGAGGGAATCCGTACTTGCAAGCACGGGATTACATGTTGCAAGCAGTGCTGCTGTGTTGCGTTAAGAGGCGTAATTGTTTCTTGCTTAGGGGCTGGTTGCGCATAACAACAGTTTAGGCCCTTTCGGCCCACAAAAGAAGTAAGTAGACGTGAAAATAGTTCAAGACTGAGCATGCTTCAGCCAGTATAGGTCTAGTTTCCATGGCAACCTCAAGAATCCCTCGCTTGGCCGCATTTGGATCTGAAACCGCGAACGTGTTAGAAAACCTGCTGTTGTCACCAAGCAACAAGTTGAACCCAGCCATAGCGATGGGCTTGTCTGGCAATACTGTGGATGGAACAGATCCAGTTCGCACCAATATTCCCAGGCCTTCATGGGTGTCAAAGCAGGGGGACCCTACAAATGGATTTTAGAGTGCCCCTAACTTGGAACCAAGATAGCACTGGAGAGAGAAATGAATGGTTTTGTCAGCGAGGTGCCGGAAGGGGAGCAGTGTCAGCTTCGGCGTGGGCCTCTGCCGCATCTCCTGTTCTTGGGTAGCAGCTCAGCTGCAAGCCGAAACCGCAGAGGTCGCCGGTTTATTGGATGACCACATTGGGGTGGGTTGGGTGGGCCAACATGCACTACTGTCAGGGACCTTGATTTAGTCATTTACAGGCTTTCTCGGGTTGGCTGACTTCCCACTGGCCAAACCACACCTACCGCCCACTTAGGCATTTGACCAGAGGCGTTAGCCACGTAAGTGGCGATTTGGGAGCTCCACTTTTTTTTGGTTTTGAAGAAACGGACTTTGCCCTTGCCTTTGCGATAGCGCTCAGTGTCTGTTCGACGCAGCGATTTGTTGCGGGGAGGGGGGAAAGAAGGAGAAGGCCCCAAAACAAACAAGTCAGCGTGTAGAAAGCAATAGAACGCCCACTTGCCACCAAAGTTGTTTTGAAAGCAACGAACCTTTCCAAAAGACCAATTTGTTGAAATTGGTAAGCTCTACTCGGCGACACTTTGTCAAAGAAGGGTTCCAACGTTTTTTGGACGACAGCAAGCTACTTTGGAATTATGACAACCCAATTATAAATTGATCATGTTACTGTACTGGTTCCTTCGGATGGGCTCCATGTTGGATTCCAAGTCAAATTGACTGGCAAACACAGGGAACCTTTGTTAGCGGTGAACCCACCAAACAAAAGGGGGAAGGGTTGCCACTGAATTGCTTTGGCATTTGCAAGGCTCAACACGAGATCCCCCAAGCAAATCATGGCTCATGAAAAAATAAACAAATCTGTGAGTCAGCATTTGCCCAGATGTCGACTTCGGACCTTCAAATGAGAACTAAACATGTCAACTTTTAGGATTCTCGCCCACATCGCATGGTCTTTTCCTGCCAATCAGTCAACTAGTTCAAAAGGAACCCATTCGTTGGACCCTCTTAGGATCACCTCACCGCTGTTTGTAAACATCGGCGTTGGGCCATTGCACACAGGTCTCTGTGCTCGCTTTGGCCAACATGTAGGTGTCCTTTTGGGTTCTAGATGGGTGTCCCTTGTAGAAGCAGCCTTGTAGATAAATCACCATCCATTTTCCACCAGCAAAAGGGGCGGCCAAGGTGATCATCATCTTTGGCCTTGGCTGTGGGGGATGGTCCTCCGCCATCTCTTTGCAACAGCTCTTCTAGCGGAGAAAAACAGCGGCGAAGTCGACTTCATGTCCGCAGGGCCAGGGTTGGGCGTGGGGGTTGCCAAAGAGGTGTCAAAGAAAGGGGGGCAAGTTTGGAGAGGGGGGTGGTTGTATTTGGGTTCAGCGACCAGCAAAGATATGGCTATCTATTCGCGTGTTGTTTTTTTGTTTCCGGCCATGGTTGGGGAAGGGGTGTTTTCGGAACCTCCACTTTGCGATTGGAGCCCGTTAGGCCATCTCAGGTAGGTTGTTCGCAGCTGGGTTTGATGCAAGGCCACTTGCTGCCAATTTCTGTGATACACAAGTGGGCTGAGCATCCCCATGGAAACCCATTGGGAGCAGACCAGAGGCTTAGATTCTAGTATCACCAGACTTTACTCCTTTTTGTTTCCTGGCGTTCTGGGTTTCCTTCATTTTCCCAGCTCTTCAGTTGCTGCATTTTTCCTTCTTTTTGGATGGGATTCTACCAAGTTTTCCGATTTTTCCCGGGGCGGTTCACTTTTGGAGGAGATTGGTGTCGATCGCCCGGGGGACGTGGATCCTTGCGAGGTTTTGCTACCTCGTGGACCACATCCAGGGAAGCCGAACCAAGGCTTGCGGCACTCGCCTTGTGCAGGGGCCAGTTCCGAACACGTTTTCCGTGGGCTGGTTTTCAGCACCGCATGGAAAATGGCCCGCTTCAGAGCCGGCGCCCGGCCTTTCGAATTTGTTGTCCCTGTTTTTTGTTTTTTGCGGTTTTCACAACGAGTTGTCCATGCAACTCTGCCTCATCGGAAAGAGACACATGAAGACAATTGCTCCACAGCATGGTTGTCAGACAAGTACGCCTTTCTGTGATTTCAACTTGGGAATTGCATCCCCCAAGGCAACCTTGTGTTTTGCTTCGGGGTCCTATCGCAAGTAAACATGCCGAACCATACCTGGGTAGACTTACGGTGCATCAGAGGGCTGACGTGTTCACTTGCCTACAATATTTACGTCAGCGTCTCACGTCCCAAGGGGCTAGCGACGCAAGAGGGCAGACTAGCGAATGGAAGTTGCGAGTGTGGTTCCCAAAGCGTCCCCTAGAATGACAACAAACTGTTTCCTGCCTGCCAATAGCACCACCCAAAAGGCGTCCACCAATTTGTCAAAGCCCAGGCCACCCATGCTTTCAGTGCAGGAGCTCGAGTCTGTTTGAGGCCGTCATGGTTGTGGCGTTTAGGGCCTTTGGGCCACGTTCTCCGATATCAAGGGAACCTTCTTGAATGTGACAAAGTCATAGGGACGGCCGACTTTGGTATCACTGCAACCTCAGATGTTCAGTGAGACGCTTGACTTTCGTTTCGTGGGCTCCCCGAATGAACAAGTAGTCAACCCCTCAGTTTCTTCCAGGACTGGACAACTGGAGGAACGGTTTTTTTTCCCACAACCATCAAGATACAAGCTTTGGAGGTATGAAGGCTTTGTAGCACTTGTATACTCCCCGGATCAATACACCCCTGGTTGATTTTGATCGGGGGGGTTGTCCCCTTGTGGTTGGATTCAGACCACTTTTGGAGGGGTTTCCACCCCCCGGATTCATGGGACGGCTTCTTAGATCCTGGGTCAACATTACGGGGTTGCAACAGCATCCATAGCTCAGGTCGACGGCATGCAACAGGATCCATAGCTCCAAAGCCCTGACGCGTGAAGTCAGGCCCCGAATTTGGAGGAAAGCTGACTGTAGATGGGGTTTCCCCCGCCTCTTAACCACCAGTTTGGGAAAATTGAAGCTTTGGGGCAAACCACCTGTTAACCACCAATTTGTGATTTGGGATTTGTTTGCAGAGGGTAAATGGCAGACCACCTCTTCACCACCAGCTTGGGGATTTTCATCCTTGGCGTTTGTACATGGGAAACCACCTCGTTTCACCACCCACCCAGCCGGCAAACAAAAGCCACCCAACGCGAGGGACGCCGCCACGATCCGCCACGCTGTTGCCAGGTGGTCCAAATGCTGGACCAAACCGGGCAGTTTCCACCCGCGGTGTCCCAGGCATTGACCGACGCCGGGGCCCCAGCGCGCTTTGGACTTTTTGAGCGGTGCGAGAAAAAACTCAAGGACCCGCAATTTGTGGAGTTCCCAAGGGTGTCCATGTTGGGTGTGCTTTTTGGTTTTTACTGGGATTCCGTGTTTTTTTGTTTAGTCTCAAGTTCCTGGGATTCCATGTTGGATTCGTTTTGCTGGGGTTCAATTTGCTGGGGTTCCTACTGTTCAGCCACAGAAAGACTCACAACTCTTAGAGCAACTTTTCGGGGCATCGGGGCCACCTTTTTATGGCAGAGTTTGAGCTCTGAATTCCCGGAAAAGAGCCAATGGGTGGATAGCGTGTAATGCCAGCAGGATTTGTGAAGTCAAGAAGCGCCACCAAACTTTGTCCAATCATGGAAGTGGGTGTTAAACTAGGAGGACCCCTCAAGTTAGTAGTGCTCTTTTTGGCTTCATAGCCAACCCCAAAAATGGTACCTTCAGGACGATAGTCTTTCAAAAGCCATCTCTCCACAGCCATGATTGGGGGAACGATTGTACAATGTGGCTATGTTTTTTTTCACGGGAAGCCACCTCCAAAAGTGATTGTGGACATCAATGCCCACCTCAATGATGTCTGGGTGCCTCATTTTTAATTAAGGACCAAGTGAGTTCGTTCTTGATCTGCGTATAAATGCGCTTGCCAGTGCTCAATGCTTGACATCAGATATTGGGATGTCCTGCCTCCAGTGGATTTCATGGATCCATGCTGCTGCTCAAAATGTTATGTAACCAGGTCCCCCAGTAGTGCCCTTTGATCCTTTTTTGGTTGGGGGTTCCCCTACTAAAATACACTATAGAAAACAAGGGTACCCTTATTCTAACCTCTCTACTGGAGGACCTAGGTAAGGCTGGCTTGATATGGACCAGCCAAACATGGGTTACTTTTAGGTGGGCTTTGGCTTCTGCAATCCTTGGGCTTTGGATGGAAAACTTCCAGGGATGGATGGAACCCAATTTGAATACTGCTTGAGACGCCGGCCGGAGTGATGTTAAGTCAATCGCTCCCCGTAGGTTAGGGAAAATCCTCTCGGTCTTTTTGGGGAGAACCACTAAACTGGTGTGCGCTTTGTTTTTTGTTCGTTTTTCATGTGAACCACAGTGAGCCACCGCGAAACGCCTCCCAATCACAATCCGCAAATTAGAGGGAAGCTGCTGAGTTTGAATGTGTGTGAGTGGGTTTTTGTTTTGTCTTGGTGTTGTTGTGTTTTTGTGTTTGTGTTTTTGTTGTGCTTGTGTGATTTGTGTGCTGTTGTGTTTCTGTGTTTCTGTGTTTTGTGTTTTTGAGTTTCTGTGTTTTGCCGTTTTTCTCCGTGTTTCTGTGTTTTGGTTCTTTGTTTTGTGTTTCTGTTACTGTGTGTGTGTGTGTGTTTTTTCAGGGCTACCCTTCAAACGATCAATGGGACACAGTTCGACACACACACACACCAGACACCCACACACACACACACACCAACACACGCCAACACACACCAACACACACCAACACACACCAACACACACCAACACACACCAACACACACCAACACACACCAACACACACCAACACACACCACACACACACCAACACACACCAACACACACCAACACACACCAACACACACCAACACACACCAACACACACCAACACACACCAACACACACCAACACACACCAACACACACCAACACACACCAACACACACCAACACACACACACACATACAGACATACCTTTGGTGCATGTTTCTTGGATGTTAGGACTTTCACTTTTTGCCAACTACTGGGTTTTCCACTAAACCACTAAAAGTTAAACTTTTAGCAGGGGAGCAGAAAGCAACCGAGGACAAACACACACGCAAATGGGATGGTCATCCAGGGCCATGAGGCAGCGATCCGGTGGCCCGCCGAGGTGGCGTTCCGGTGCATCCGCTCGCCGGAGCCTCAGGGGCTCTGGTCTCTTAGGCCGGCTGGGAACCTCCAAACACAAAGAGCAACAATGCCATGGCACTGTTTCTGATGGTTCCCCTTCAACAGCCACCGCATTAAAGAACAATAAAAAACAATTTCGGGGGGTTTCTCTTCAAAAGCCGCCACAAAAAGGGGGCGCCCTTAAGAGACAGGCTTCCCGGGTCTGGTTTTGGGACTGCGGACGGTTTGATCCCGGGCCCAAGCTTCTCATCCACCAGGCCTTCAGATCCCAAACCAAGGGTTGTTTGAAAGCCTCACCGCTCGGCCCACAGGTTGGTACCATTTGTTTTGCCCTCTAAAATGAGAGATGGAACGATTGTTTTTGTTGCATTCTAGGTTTGAGGTTATATCCTTTCGCCTTGCTTTTTGGCATGTTTGTGTTCAGTTGTTTGGTCTTCTAGTTGTTCTGTTCATCAAAAAGGGCCGCAAAGACAAGGTGCCTTGCTCACGCCAGCACTTGCGCAGTTGCTCAAAACCGATCTTGGAAACCTTTTGATTTTCACTTTCGGTAACCACGTCCTAGGCGATCGCCTAGTATTTCTAGGTACCGGGGCAACAGGGAACCAAGGGATGTGGTTTCCTTCAGGGCTGAATTTCCGCCACATGTCTGGAGCAAACAATTCAAGGCGCTGTTGGTTTAAGGCCCAGACACGTGCCGTATTTTTTGCGCATGAGGCAAAGCAGTGGTTTGGATCGAGCCTATCCCCATGGGTCTGTTGAGGGAGTTAACAGCTCCAAACTGAGACCCGGACCTGGGATCGGGGCTGAAGAACATGGGATCGGATGCACCGAGTCCGTTGGGCCCAGGAGTCGTTCATATCTGCCGGTCTTCGGAAGCCGAAGCACGCACCATGTGTAGACCTGATGGAACAAATGAGCTGGTCCCCGGAAAGTTGTGCTGGATTCCTCTGAGATCCAAGTTTCTTCGAAAGATTGCAAAAGGCCCTGGTGGGCTTGTACACCACCAAGTAGGGGGTAAGCTGAGAGTACTATACTATACCAAGTAAGGGGTAAGCTGAAAGTACTATACTATATGGGTGTGTCCTTGTTAAAAGTTGGACCCCCCAAAAAATCTCGCCAAGACAAGATGGGTTCCTCCTTTGGTTTCCCTCCAACAAAAAATTAGCGGCACCGGTACCAACTCCCAAAAAGCAGATTCACCGCTCGCGGCGCCCGTCGGCCCGTCGAACCGACTCGAGGAGCTCTTCGGAGCGGCCCCTCTTCAAAGTTCTGGTGGAGGAGTTGCGGGAGCTCTACGTGGCCGGATCGATCCGATCGAACGATCGAGATTCGATGCGAAGGCTTTTTGGTTCCATTTTTGTTTATCGATGGATTCCCTTAAACGGGGTGGGTGGGTGGGTGGGTGGGTGGGTTGGTGCCATAGGCTCCCTCTCCCGTGGGGAGAACACCAGCCATGTCCTTGACCCGCTTTCTCCTGGAATCGCACCCACTGGATGGGATTCCATGAGGTTTTCTCCACGCTTCCTTTGTGTCGGTGCCAATTGCCGGTTCGGAGATCCCAGGAAACGAAACGTTGGAAACTTGAAGCAACCCAACCCAAACCTCCAAGTGTCCTCGAAAGAGATGACGTTTTCTGTGTGTGTGTTTTTTTTTTGGGGGGGGGGGGTGGTTTTCATAGGCCCTCCTGGCGTTCTTGGAAGGTACCGCACGATATCCCCTTAAATGGCCATGGAAAAAGCACCTCCGCATCATTGGGAGTTGGTACGCAATCTGCAGAGGAACCCAATGCAAATGCTACAGCCGTATCAACTCGTAGCCCATTTCAAAGAAAGCCACCAGCGCACAACTGTTTGTTCAACCATGTTGATGAATCACCCTTCGCTGCAAAGAGGACCGATCGGTGCAACATGCGCGTTGGGTCTTTAGATTGGTTCTTGAGGGTGCCTTTAGGTTGGTTCAAAGAAAAAGGGAGAAAACAAAACATATCCAAGATATATGTATATATATATATGCGTGTACAAGGGACAGGGGTGAGGGAGGTTTGGAGCGCAGTTTCGCAGAGGCCATTAAGCTTCAGCCCAGCACAATCGGATTAATCTGAGCTGACCTAACAAACAGAGTTGAGACCCAAAAAGGGCTCTCCTTTTCTACTATTCTAGGGCCACTGGGCACGTGGGCAGCACGCGCATTTCACCACCGGTGCCTTGCAGTTTTGGGTTCTAGCGCCGGAGCTTGGCAGCCATGAGCGATGGACGGGAAAGAGCAACTGCGCATACTGCTTCGCAGCTTGGATTTGGTGTCGATCACTCTGCTGCAAGCTGGATGTCATCTCAGTTGTTTCCTGCACATCCCTTCATGCCTTGAGTTTCCGTTCATTTCGCTTCATTTCCTTGCGGTTCCTTTAACGCCCCTTGTCACGCCCCTTGCAGCTCTTTTCCTTGTATTTATTTCCCTTCAATTCCCTTCATTTCCAATGATGTCCCTTCATGTCCAATCCCTTTGTGTTTGGTCGGTTCCCCACTTGTCGAAAGTATGCCCCAAGACTTTGGTGCGAGGGGTCAAGCTGGCGTTCCGCCAGTAGGTCGGGCTGACCCTCATTTTTTTTGGTCAACACGCATCTGATATCGGGCCTCTTCAAACAGTCGCCACAACGCCTCAGATCACCCAAGATGTTAAGTTACCGATATGCTTTTTGGGCCAACAGCTCTCCTGTGTTGAGGAGTGTTTCTGTTTGGGGACCTAGTTGCGGCAGGGGAGTTTGGAGTATTTTGGTCATCCCTTCGTGGTATGGATGCGAATCCTGAGAGGAACTCCTGGAGCTGCCCAACTCCCAACTGCTGGACCTAAAGCAAAGGGGAACCCGGGGAACCTTTCTTTTGCTCAGGGATGCAATTCTTTCATTTGCTGAAATTAAAAATACTTGTTATTTGGCCCTCTTGGGTTTGAAAGGGAAGCTACTGGACATATGTTCTCATTTTGTCCGGTTTAGATGTTTGAAGCAAACATCTTTTATTTGGCACTCTTTTTGTTAAAGGGAAGCTGTCACTGGACCTAGGTTTTGTTTTGCTGACTCTTGCAAATGGAAGCCTTCCCTCGCCTTGCGCTCAAAGGCAAAAGAAGTGGACCGCGGCCTACGCCCAAAGCCGCGCCTTGGAGCGACCGAAAAATGTGCGTAGAGGGCGGGGTTGGTAGATCCCCACCCGCGGTAATGGAATTGGGGGGTGGGATTTTTTTCGACCCTGGGAGATCTCCATTTGTGGTGACCATGGTCCCCTCTTTTATGGGGACCAGATGAATGGAATTGCAGGGGACCCCCCCACCCCCCTCATGTTGGTAGGAATGGCCCTCATGTAAAAAACCAACCTTTGGATGAAGGGAACCCGCGCGCAATGAGTTTTGACCACGGTGGTTGGTTCAGGGGCAAACCGCAGTTTGTGCGGTCCAACACCCAATTTTGACACAGCCCCCGTGCGTTTTGACAAACATATTTTGCAGGGGAGTAAGACAACTCCCTTTCAATTGTCGTTGACTTTTTATCACAGGTGTTTGGTTGATGAGTTGCCCAATGCCGACCTTTCAACCTTTCGGTTTTCCAATTTTGGTCTATGTAAAAGCAGTCCCGACAGACGTTCGGCTTTTATTTCTGGATCCTTTGCGGAAGTGTGGTCGGGCATCTTCCAGTTGCTAAAGAGTGTGTTTTGTTTTATGTGTTTTATGATTATTCTGCCCTGTTGGTTTTAAAGGGAATCTATCACTATTGCAAATATGTTTTATTTTTCCTGGCAGGCCGGCGCGGAATGATTTAATGGCACTTTTACCCCGGAAAGGGAGCTTCTGCCCAGCTCAGACCCGCCAAGCGAGCCCGCCGGGACCCACAAGAAATGGCCCAAATGCGTTTTCCTCCAGGCCAACCATATACACATGAGCTCACATGTGTATATCTATATATAGTATGATGTTCTTTTTCTGGCAAGGGACCGCCAAAATGAAGTCGTTCCGATCTGTTCTTTTGGCAGTCTACCAAACCAGAGCAAAAGTTCCATGCGTCTGACTTGTTGGGAAGACCATTGTGTGGCATACATTGGCACATCCAGTGAGTTGTGTGTACTTGCTTTACTCTCTGGGTCACTGGTTGCGGTTTCAACTTGTATTTGAGTGTGTCTAAAAATAGGGGACCCTACAGATGGTGGTTTCCCTGGTGTTTTCCTTTTAATGGGCCCAAAAAGGGCACCTCAAGAACGACACCCATATGTCTTTTGTTGCTGGCTGGAGCCAGCATGGATATGGGTGTGTCTTTTTCAGGGGGCTCCCTAAATAAGCCACCCCAAGAACTGTACCCTGAAAAACGACACACGAGCTTTAATTGGGGACCATGTATGTACAACAATCACTTTGAGGTGTATCCCAAGCCACCTTCTCAACATGAACACGTATCTGTTGTCTTGGTTTAGTGAGACTGGAACCAACAAAGTTAAGCCCTGGATTTTGACCCAGTCAAAGTATTACAGGTCAACCTGGAAGCCAAACACCCACCATTTCGAACAAAACGCTTAACCAACTAAAAGTCATTCATCCTATGTTGGCATATATGAGTTGCTGCACTTTTTCCTAACGTCAGAGAAGATATATGAGAATGGCTTATTGCGATTGCTTAGGACAACCAAAGTTTTGCTTTTTCTCTTCAAGTGCTTCAAGGTAGGGCAAGCCTCTTTCGGGGAGCTGCCTCTGGGTTCCTTCCATTAAAACGCCTGGGATTCGATGAGGAGACTTTGCGGGCTGGGCGTGGCCTGCAACTCCTGAGCTTGACGCCAAAGGATGGGGTGGGCGCACACGTGGGGCGTGGCTTGCGCTCGTTTGGCCTTGGAAACAATCACTAAAACTAGGTCCCCCAGTTAGAATAAAACCCTGGTAAATGGAAACATGGACTAAAATCTGCGGTCCCCCCCCAGGACTAAAATCTGCGGTCCCACAGCAATGGTGCCCTTTTACCGTTTCTGCTTTTTGGGGGAGGGTTCCCCTACCAAAACAGACTACAGAGAAAAGGGTGCCACTCTAGCCTCTCTACTGGAGGACCTAGAAAAGGTGCTTTCCTCAAAGGACACACCCGCTTCCCTCCTGAGCCAAAATGACCGTGCATGAATTGCCCTTATTCTGGACATGGTTTTGGGAAAAACGCTTTGCCGTTGGTGTTGGCATGTTCCACCGGAAAACGATGTTGCGACCTCTCCTCCAAAGCCACAAGCAAAAGGAAGTCAGTGCAGAAAGAATTTTTAAACACGCGCTCCATTTCCATGGGTCGTTTACTGCAGAGCCGTAGCAAGGGGTGCAGTCTCAATCAGTGGAGGTCGAATGATTTCGAATTCTTTTCAGACCTCCAAGGAGGAGTAGCCGCAGGCTCATTCGCCCTTTCCAGAAAACTGGCCGTGGGAAGGTGCCTGTCTTGGGAGGTTCACCGAGTGGATGCTCCTCGTTGATTTTCGGATTGCTCACTCCCTGAGTTCCTGGACTTGATCGTCACCTTTTAGGTTTGGGCCAGTTTGTTGGCAAACAACGGGTTCGGTCACTTTTTTGGCCAGTCCACTCACGAAAACAGGGGTTGGTGAAGTTTGAGTTTTCCCACTCGATCGGAAGTGTGAGATTTCTCTTCTTCCAACGTCAGGAAGTTGCTTGCCCATCACCATGTCAAAAGTCCAGGTCCGTGTGCGCCTGAACACATATCCGAGATGCGTGCGGGTTGCCCAACCTCAAAACGTCCCCAATTTAAGTCGTTGGGTTGGGTTGTAATGAAACCCCCCACAGGAATGATTTTGGTTCAACAAATATCCCCCGAAGCTCCGGATGTTCCACAAACCTTCAGGGGGGGACCACCCCAATCTCTAGTGTTCCTGTTGGTTTACACTTCGCCCGGCCCTTTCAAAAAGGGGTCATCAAAGCCCCGACCCCGCCCAACCCTCCCCCCCCCAAAAAAAAAAAAAACAAGACGGAAAAACACAGGTTCCCTTCCAAATCCGGTGGGTCCGAGCCCAAAGCTCGCCCAAAACTCCGGAGACGAAGAAAAACAACGAGCACCGAGCCCAGAGGTGAGCCCCCCAAAAAAGTCCGGTCGCTCCAGCCTCCCTCAAAAAAGACGAGAAGAAAAAGAAGAAAAAGCACGAGCCTAGGAAGGTTCCCGCCCAAAGAAACACGCCCCCCCCCCCAAAAAAAAAAAGAAGAAGAAAGAACGGCCGGAAAAAAGGGGGGGGAAGACAAAAACAAAGAAGCACCGAGCCCAGCAACATTCCCCCCCGCAAAAAACAAAG